CTACCAACCCCCCACCCCCAAGCATAGGGCCCACAGCACTACCTCTGGTAGCCAAGGGGAGGGACCAGAGTTTATCAATAGGCTAGGGAGGGTGAGCGATCAGTGCAGCTGGCCCTCCCTCCGCATAGCCTGACACTGCAGTCAGTCACCCCGCCTGCAGCCCAGCAGGACAGTGGTGCTTCTAGTCCTGTGAAGAGAACCCCAACTCCACTGCTCTCTGGAGTGAGTCCCCTCTCTGAGCGTCAGTCTCCTGGTAAAGAGGAGGAGGCAGTGGAGCGAGAGGAGGGGCCCGGGCCTGTGCCAGCCTGGTGGGCTCCAGGCCAGTTCATCAGACAGCCAGTGCCCAGGCTGGAGCCCAGGCCCAGCGGGAGGAAAGAGGAGCCTGTCGGCAGAGCCACTTCCCCGGGGATCCTGGCTTAGCAGCCAGTTCGAGGAGGAGACAGGCTTAGGGGTGCCAGGAACCAGCCTCCGCCTCTCGCCCTAAGGATTTCCCAGTCTCGGAAGCCCCCAGCGCCCGCCCCAGCAGCAGGAAGTGAGTAACCACCTCTCCAGACCTACTGGCCACAGCTCAGGGCCGAGGACAGAGTGAGGGACCACGGCCAGGCTGATGGCAGAGCCGGGGCTCCGTCCACCACACTGCGTGAAGTCAACCTGCCGAGCCCAGCACCAGCTCTCCCTGGTCAGCAGGGAAATGGGCAGAGGGACAGGCCTCCCGCGCCCAGCCTGGCTCCGGCTCCCCACTGTGACGGTTGCAGAGGACTAGCAAGGGCTCCCGCTCCCGCTCCCTCTGAACCAAATCAGAAGGAAACTGGGGGGCAGGGGGAGCCCATATCAAGACATTCAGTGCAAACCACAAACTGGCAAAACACAACAAAAAGAGCCCTGAATCCTGAAAAATGCAGCTATTGGGGGGACGGAGGAGAGAGTGGGGGACGAGGTAGGGGGTGGGCGAGATACGGGCGAGGCTCCCGACATAGCAAACTTAGCAACCACGTGGGAAATCAATAAAAATCTGATCTCAAATATAGTAGTAGTAAAATGCAAACAGATGGGCTTCTCGCAGCCTTTCCACAGTCCCGGCAAGAATGAAATCCACATGTCTGTGCAAGCCACGAGACCAGGCGTCGACTGCTGGCGTCCGCTGGCGTGCGGGGCGCTCTCTGCACCCCCAGGGAACGGCAGCTGCGGGCGGTATTTTCATATCCACTCATTTTTACTTGGGAAGTTAATTGCTTCTACCAGAGCACCCATCCTCACCGGGTGGTGGGCAGCCAGCGCTGGCAGAGCCGACTGGGAGGAGGCCAGGGCCCAGGAAGGCGCCCGGTGAGCTCCAGGTAGGGCGTTCTGCCTGCTAGTCCAAACGACAGCCTCTCACGGTTGCTATAAATCAAAATCTCACTTGACTCTCGACGCACCCTGCAGGCTTCAGGGACGGGTGTGTCTGAGACGTGTGGGACAGACCGGCCCTTGGCAAGGAGGCTGACAGAGGACAGGAGCTGGCTTTCTGGGGGGGACCTGGAAGTTCTGGACAAAAGCATAGCCCAGTACTGAGGCCAGTAGAAATGGCCTTCCCAGGGGGGTCCCGTGAGCTCCAGCCCCGGAGCTCATGTAGACAACAGAAGGAATGTTCCGGAACATTAGGGTGGAGGGGCAGACATTCATAGGCCTGTGCACACACGCACATATGATCCGCTTTTATGCTTTGAGTGCGCTTTTCTTCACCCCCAGGGACTTTAGGTTTCGTGGCTTTTCCCCATAGGCTGGGCTGTGTCTTCACTCCATCGGCAGGTGCTCACGGGGTGCCGGCTACGTGCTGGATGCCAGGCAACGATTGGGTACAGGGGCTCCCGCCGAGGAGTTCACGGTCTGGTGGGGGCACAGGCCAAGAGCAGACAAGACGTGATGTCAGTCAGGGGCATCGGAAAAGCTGCAGGCAGCGACTGTATCACGTGCAAAAGCCTGGAGTGCAACGTGATTCTGACGCTTTCGGCACCCTGGGAGGGGCTACTGGAAAAGCCTGTGAGGCCAGGTGGCTGGCGAGGCCACTGGGGTTAGCAGGGATAACGTATTCCCTCCTCTAAGTCTCTCCCAGTGCAGGTAGGACAGAGCTCCCCACCCCCAGCCGGCAAGCCCCATCGAGTCTCTTGGATGGCAAGGGGCTGAATAAGTCGGTGGCGATAGGGGTCTTCCGGGAAGGTTTAGCCAAACTTTCCATAGCAACATGAAGAAACGCAAAAGACCTGAGAATCGACATCAATCAATAAATCAACATGGGCTACTGTTGCGTTCACAGGGACTCCTTGGGGAAGGACTTCCCACCTGGATGCTGCCCATAGCCGTGAGCCCGTCTCTGCGTTAGGTTCCTCCTGGCACGTGTGAGTTGTAGTCACTCACTCTGCCTCGCAATGCACAGCCCAGTTAGGTGGTTGTCTAATAAATGGGTGGGCGGGCAGGAAGGTGGATGGGTGGGTAGTGAATGAATAAGGACATGTCAGTATTTCATGCCAGCGTGGGTGATTGCTTCATAAGATCAGAAGATTCTCTTGAGAGCAGTGTGCAACACAAGGACACTCAGGTGAAAGCTAGAACTTTTTGTTAGGCAAGCCCTCTCGATCACTTGGTGAAGACACAGCTCCTCTCCCCTGGAGAAAGCACACGTGGCGGCCTGTCACTGCTCAGAGGGCTTTTGGGCACTGGCAGCTGCTCAGAGCCCTGTCCCCACCTGGAAAGTCGGGGCTCAGGATAAGAAGGGTGGTAGATGTGGTAGAAGGGTCAGGATGTGAGGAGTCAACTGAGCGCCATGTCAGTGCAGGACTTGAGCTCACAGACGAGCCAGTCTGTACCTCAGTCTCCCAAAACTGTCAGATTCCAGTCCCCCACCTCCGTGGTGATGGGGTTAGGCACACGCCCCAGGACACAGACGTGGTTCAGAGAAAGTGCAGGGAAGGGAGACAGATGAGGGGTGGTGGTCTCACCCTCCTATTGATTCCCCCAGTAGATGAGACCTATGTGGTCACTATTGAAAGAAAGATTTCAAGACAATTGAAAAGTAGCTTTGATGAAAGGCCCCTGGACATTCCTTCTTCTAAGCTTCTGGGAATGATAAGTGCTGTGGATTGTCAGTAAGTCTCCAAAAGGAAGCCAAGAAAGCTGATCAGGGTTGACGTGGAAGGAAACCATTCCAGACATCCCCAAAGAAATGGCTACATGTCTCCTACTAGAGGGGAGGGATTTGAACACTATGTGGCTGAGAAAGGGCTAAGAGCCAGAGTCTAGAAAGAACTCATACAACTCAACAGAAGAAAACAAAGAACCCCATCAAACATGGACAGAAGAATTCAACAGGCACTTCTCCAGAGAAGGTCTCAGATGGCCAGAAAGCGGCTCAAGAAGATACTCATCATCATTATTCTGGGGGAAATACAAATCAAAGCCACAGTGAGACACCACCTCACACCCACGAGAACGGTCTAGATCAAAAACACCAAAAACAAACACTGGTGCGGATGTGGAGAAAAAAGCCTTTTGCACACTGTCTGTGGGAGGGTGAACCCATGCAGCCCTGTGGAAAACAGTGCGGAGGTTTCTCAAAATATTAAAAATAGATCTGCCATATGATCTAGGAACCCACTCAGATATCTACCTAAAAAGTACAAAAGCATTCATTTGAAAGGTCACATGCACTCCTGTGATCATCATAACAGTCTTTACAAGCCAAGCAACACCCCAAGTGCTCAACCACAGCTGAGGGGTTCAGATGCGATATGTATATATAGTGGAATACTACTCAGCCATAAATAAGATGAACTGTTGCCTTTCGCCACAAAATAGGTGGAACTGGAGGTGATTATGCTAAGTGAAATAAACCAGAAGGAGAAAAGATAAACACCAAATTACTTCGTTTGTATGTGGGAGATAGAGGGGAAAATGAAAACAAAAGGCAAAAATAATCCAACACAAACCCGTGAAATATGACTGCAGATTTTAGGCTACCAGACGAGGCAGGGGCCAGGGAGCAGGGATGCCATACACTATGGTGGAGGGTAATTGTGGCACACTTTTGGCAGCGGGCGTGATGTGGTAGCATGTCTGGGAGGGGTGAATCTGTACCCCTAACTCATATAGAGTATTGTAAGCCAAAGCAAGCTCAATAAACATAATATGAAAAAAGAAGGAAGAGGATGTGTCCCAGGGGTGTGCTAACGCTATGCATCACCCGATACAGCACAGGGAAGGGCTTCACTCTGAAAATGTCTCCACGTTCCCCCACCCTTCTCCCTTGGGAAGCAAACAAGGCATAAAAAGTCAGAACTCTTATCTGGCCAGCTGGCCAGTCTCTGTTGATGCCTAAATACAGACACAAAACCACCACAGAGGGAATGATAAGTGAATGATAAGTCGTGTGTGTTATATTAGACAAGCGTATTCACTTACGGATCATGCCAGCTGCTGACCTTAGTGCCAGCTGAAGATACCTGGTATTGTGACCTCCACCTCCGCTGCGCTGCTATGCACCTGCTATTCACACCCATTGTTTCATTTACTGAGAACAAGTATGGCCCGGTGGTACCGAGGGCATACGTGGTCCAGGGCTTTGGAGCCCTGGGTCCCCCGAGAGTCCCCCTGGCCCCCCTGGGCCCCTTCCCTGGGCAAGGGAAAGTGCCTGGCATAGGAGGAGTTACCTGCGTCAGGACGGACCTTAATCCTCACCGCATCCCCTCTGAGATTTTCATGATCGATCGGCTACATTTTAAAGTTCAGAGAGGTTAAATCACCGGCCCAAGGCCCTCACCACAGGATCTGATATACAGGGCGTCACTGGGAAGCTGCGCCTTGGGTGGCCCCCACCCCCCATGCGGGCTCCAGGGCAGGGGGAGCCCCCATGGCAGCGTGCCAGCTGGCCTCAGCAGGGCATGCTGGAAAGGGCTGCGGAGAGGCTCGGAGGTGGAGGGAGGAAGTGCCAGGAGGCGATGACATCACTGCCCAGCCCTTGAAAGATGAGCTGGTCCCGCCACTCCTGCCCTGGCGGTGGGACTGGGAAGGCAGCCCTGGACGGCTGGACGCACGCAGGGAGGACGCGGCCGAGGCTCTCTCAGACAAGGTGGGTGCGGGGCAGGGCCGGGTGGGGGCAGGCGGGCGGGTGGCACCGGAGCCAACTCCCAGGCTGGGCAGAAGTTTGCCTGGGTCCTAGGAGTACTTCAGAGGGTTCACTTCCTGCCCGAGTCCCGGCAAGTGACAAGGGCGCCCCGCAGGCTCGACTGTCCTGCTTGCTCTGGTTTGTCTCCTCCGTGAATGGAGGCGACAGAGGAAACAGGCCCACTGTGTGTGGGCCAGCAGTGAGCTGATCTGTGGAGACAGGGTGGACACCTCGGGCGAGAACAGCCAGCAGAGAGCCTGGTGACCAGGGAGGGTGTAGGCTTGAGACTCTGGCATCTGCCTTTGCATTCACAGCTGGGCTCTTGAGTCCCCTGATGTGTTACTTAACCCCTCTGAGCCTCAGCGTCTGTCTGCAAAGTGACCCAGCGGTGGCGGCCGGCCACAGAGCAGGGGATTTGTGAGTGCAGGTGACGGGCAGTGGTGGCACCGGTGGCACTCAGGCGGGTGTGGGCCTTGGTGCCCTGCTGTCCTGTCTGGGGGCAGGGGCTTCAGAACCCGTGCCTTGTGTCCAGTGCTGGGCAGGGTCAGCCTGCTCTCATCCTCCAGGTGTCGGTTTTGAGCAAATGATTTTCCCCATCTCCTGAGCCCTACAGATGAGGTGCGGTGGCTGTCGAGGGTGTCAGGTGAATGGTGGCCTGAGTAGGCTCCCTCAGGTCGGGGAGGTGCTGGGCGTGGCTCCCAGGCAGGTTAGGATGTGCCTCCCGAGTCACGCCCCAAGGGGCCAGCCCACAGGAAGTGGGAGTTTTGGCCAGGGGTGGAGCAGTGGGGGCCCTGGGCCAGTCCTCCCTCTTTCTCAGAGTGAGAGTCAGGCTCAGAAGGCAGGGGGCCAAATGAGCAGCCTCAGAGCTCTGGTGCCACCCCTGTGCACCCCAGCAAGCTCCTGGGATCTTGCAGTGGTCCGACTCACAGGCAGAGTCCTCCGTCCTCAGGAGAGGGAGGGAAGAGTTTGCTGTTTTTTCTCTGCGTGCAGAGGGTGCCGGAGGGGAGAGTGGAAAACAGAGTGTTTTTGAAAACACGAAGGCGCCCATGTGACCCCACAGGCAGGACCTCAGAGTCTCATCCAAGTTCTACCTTGAACCCACAAAACATCCGCCATCATATGTTCCAGAACCTTCTCGATACGGACAGGGAAACTGAGTCTTCGAAACCCCAGCAAAGCTCTTTGCTTAGCATCTGGGGACATGCGTCAGACTCTTTGGGACTCAGGCTCCGTCGTTTGTAAACAGGGAAGGTTCAGAGGATTGGCCAAGGCTGGATGGTGAGATGAAGGACTTGAAGTTAGACTGAACGCCAGAGACCTGGCTGGGGGGACACACAGAGGAAGCAGCAGTGCCATGGGGTCCCTGCTCACGTGCTGGTGGGCAGAGGTCAGAGGGGGGCTGGGGCTACCCCTCTCGCTTCTGCTGCCTTGTGGTGAGGGGCCCCCAGGGCAAAGGACCTTGTCCTCTGAGTCTCAGAATGAAAGCAGGGATGGTGTCTTTTCGTTCATAGAGCTTCCCCTGCACCAAACACTGTGCCCAGCATAAAGCAGGCTCTGGCCTTAGTTGCTGAAGGAGTGGATAGATGACAGATGGATGGATGGATGGATGGATGGATGGATGGATGGATGGATGGATGGATGGGTAGATGGGTAGGTGGATGGATGGAGAATGGATGGGTGAAGGATGGATGGGTGGGTGGATGGTGGATGGATAGGTGGGTGGATGGTGGATGGAGGATGGATGAATGGGTGGGTGGATGGATGGATGGGTAGGTGGGTAGGTGGATGGATGGAGGATGGATGGATGAATGGGTGGGTGGATGGGTAGATGGTGGATGGCTGGGTGGTGAATACTGGTCACACAACGGACACTAGAAGCATGAAATTTGTTTTAGTAAGTGAAAGAAGACAATCTAAGAAGTCTGCATATTCTGTCTGACTTCAACTAGATGACATTCTAGAAAAGGCAACACTACAGAGACAGTAAAAATATCAGTGGTCGCCATCACTGTGTGGGATTAGGGGAGGGAGAGATGAACAGGCAGGTCACAGAGATGTGGAAGGCGGTGAAGTGACTGCCTGGTGCTGGGGGTAGACGCACATCATTAAATGTTTGCCCGATACCCAGAGTGAGCTGGATTTGGGGAGACTACGGTGCGCCATGAAGGTTCATCATTGCAGTAAATACGGGCTTGCGGGTTCTTGAGAGCAGAGGACGTTTTCCTTGGGGTGGGGGGGCAGAGGTATAAGGAAAGTCTGTAATTTCTGCTCAACTTTTCTGTGAACCTCACGCCTCAGAAATCACTTGTTTAAAAAAGAAAAGCAAAGGTACACAGAGGAGGGCTTCGTGCTTTGGGCACTCAGAGGGCGCTCAGCGACTTCAAAGCCTTAGGTCCTGGGTCAGAGCTCGCCAAGCCGGCAGGCAGCCAGCGCCCCGCGCCCCGGCCAGGCGCCCCGGGCCCAAGCGGCCCGCTCAGCACGTGCGCTGCAGGATGGGCGTCTGAGGTTGCGCCTCTCGGCAGGCGCCCGGAACCCCTCCTGGCGTGCCTTGGACAAGTCACCCCTCACTGAACCGCTCTCGGGCCCCCAGCGAGCGAGGGGTGGGGAAGGGCCTCTCGGGTCCCTTCTGGCTGAACACACACAGATGTGAATGGCCAGGACACTGGGCCATGGCAGGGCGGGAGGAAGCCGGACCAGGGGAAAGGTGGCACTGATGTGTCCACACAGGGCAAAGGCCTGCAGGCAGGGGGCCCCAACAGCGGGAAATAGGGGCTGGTCCAATGAACAGGGTGTTCTGGGATCCAGAGCCTCCGTGGAAGCCCCTCCTCCCCCTCCTCCCTCCTCCTCCTCCTCCTTTCTCCTCCACCCCTTCCTCCTCCCCCCACAACCCATAGCCAGCCACAGGGTTGACGTCTCCACCACCCCTCCCCTGCTGTAGACCTAGAAAAGGCACCAAGCCTCAAGCTTTGTTTCCTGCATCTGCAAATACTAGAGTTGGAAACTACCGAAAATAAAATTGGGAATTCCCTGCGGCGGGGGTGACTTTGGCCCACTCTGGAATACTCAAAGCCATTAAAACAAGGAGGTGGGTCAGGTGGTTGTGAAAGGCAGTGTGTCTGGGTGACTTGCTGGCGTCACCTCCTGGACACAAACATCTACTCCCAAACACAGGGAGAGGCGCCCAGGCGGAGACACCACAGACAGCACACCCACCTGGGGGGAGGGGGGAGGGGAGGGGGGTTGGCAGGCGGCCGGGGGGCTTCTAAACATTAGAATTTTATCATAAAGTGCATATCCCTTTGCAAATGCTTATAATATAAAAACAAAGGAAACTGATGTGAAAATAAGAAGACAAATCCCCCAACAGGCCATCAGGTGGGGGCAGGGAGGCTGTCCTAAGTCTCCTAGGCTGAGGTGAAGGGGAGGCGCTTCACACACTTGGGTGGGGGTGGGTGGGTGGGTGGATGAACACCGGTCTCGCTACTGGCTCTCGGAGCATGAAATGTGTGTCAGTAAGCGAAGGAAGACCATCTAAGAAGTCCATCAGCCGTATGATTTCAACTAGGTGACGGTCTAGAAAAGACAGCTCGACAGAGACAGCCGGCCGAGGACAGGAGGGACCCGGGTACAGGCCAGCTGGCCTGGGCTTGCTCTGGGCTCTTTGAGGAAACCATTCACTGAGCGTCTGTGGGGGGCAGGGCGAATCCCCACCTAAACTTGGGGGGCTAAGACGTGTCTATGCGGCTTAATTCATTGTAGTCGGTATCCCCATGGCAGTAAATTCAGTGTAGTAAATAATGAATGCCGGGTTCATTATTCCAGTAAGTGGAATAATTCAAGAAAGGGCAAAACTTGTTAGAGGAAAAATTATTGTAAACAATGAAACCAGCTAAAGCCGAAGGTTATGGAGAATGAAACAGTTGTAATTGTTGAGCTTAATAGCTGCTTTAAAAGGATGCTTAACAGAGAAAGAAATGAAATATTAGGTGATAACTGTAATGTATGATATAGGTTATGAGATGTTCATCAAAACATTGAAGATAAAACTTAGAACAGCAGCTATATGGGAATGTATACAATGAATATATAATGTCATAAACATATGAAGAAGTATACGCAACCTATACATTGCTGTGTACTCTACTAAGAATATATATTCTAAGGAATATATACAAGACTTGGCTATGTTCGAGGCCCTAAGGAACGCCTCACTATCATCCCAAACTTAGAATTTGTACAGGCTGGATTACCTGACCATACTGTGGGGCTTGAGCAACCACTCGAAAATTTTAGAAAATATTCTTTCTTAAAACGTATCCATCAGAAATCATCGACACTGAACTTACAGGCACTTGGGAAGGGATGAGAACACTGTAAATCAAACCTTTGGGATATGGCCAAAGCTGTATTCACAGGAAAACTAAGGGCATCAGTGTTTTTATTTTTTAAACAATAAAGATCACAATTCATGAAGTAAATGTTAGTTCAAGAAATCGAAAAATGAACAAAAAAGTAGAAGAAAGAAAATAATAGCAACAAAACCAAATGATTCAGCAGAAAGGAAATCATTAGTATTTTACTGGGGAAATGCAAACTGACACTTTGAGAACCGGGAGGAGGAGGGATGTGGTTGTGAGACCAGAGCTGGTGGGCAAGCTGGCCCGCAGCCCTAGTGAGGGCCCCACGCCCAGGCTTTTCGCGGGGATGCGAGGGAGGGGAGGTCTGCCTGGTCAGGGTTTAACCCCCCAGGAATCTCTCCGAGCCACTAGGATGCCTCTGAACAGAGACATCTCACCTCCAGTTAGGACTCCAGCGGCCCACCCCCCACACCCCACCTCTGCCGAGGCACGTCTCCTCTGTTCATTCTTCTGTATGCAGGTCTCAGAGCACACAGCCAACAGGCTCACAGGTGATCTAACCAGAGGACCTCCCACTATTTCTTTAAAGAGTGATCTTCGCTTTTT